AACAATTTCAAGCGACCCCTAGATCGACATGTGACAAAGATTAGGGAAGAAGGATATACTGATTTAGCAGACTCCATTGTAGAAGATTTGGCTCGCTTAGAGCAGGAACTCCAAAAGTTGAACGACCTCTAGACTACCGGTGCTTCTTCATATGTATCAGCTTATATGGAATCTAGTTTGAAGGCATGTCATGATGCGTAGGCACCTGCTGAGCTTGAACTCCAAAAGCTATGGAGTCGTGTGCAACAAATGGAAGTAAATCTTTCAAGAAAAGTGAAAACTAAGACTAGCTTGCTCTAATCTCTAGAATTGAACCATGCAGAGATAGTCCGCCTTAATAAAGCCCTTGAATACACTAAATATGCTCGAGCCATTCTGGAACGTGACTTGGCCGGCATGGAGAGTGCTCACGTGAAGATGCTCGAGAGACTGAAGCCTCAGAAAGAGAAGTTGGCTAAAATGGAGAAGGAGGTTGCAAAGGCTCTTACTACCACTGAAGACTCCGTGACAGCTGACTTGAAAATGAAGCTTTCACGGGCTTATAAAGAGGAGCTTTCGAAGCTAGAAGAGCAGATCCGTTGTCGTAAGCTATCTATGGAGTGATAGCATCATTTTTTGTATCTTTCATTTTCTCTTTTATGAATAAAGCAAACTTTGTGATCTTTTAAATCTTATTATGATTACTCATTCTGCTTGGAATAAATAAACATAATACTTATAGGATTTTTAGCAAACCCACAGCCATCAACGGGTTTGATGAGCCTTTACCGACTACCGTTTGAGTCAGGCTAACATGCGGGTTGTTAAAGTCTGATCCACATGTAACGTTATGCTAAAAGAATAAATTCTCTTAGACTTAGTGCTACGATATTGAATACATAGACCTCATCATTTTTACAGGAGTTGACTACCCGACTACATGTGTTAGACGTAGACTTATCTCTGATTAAGGACCGAGTTAAAATTCACTATGCATGAGAGGCATAGATTTAAGTGTCATTAAGTCAGTAATAACAGCTGACTACACGTGTAGACTTTTGGAGTTTTGTATCTTCTCTTGGGACAATGACGAACCCTATTGTGTCTCCTCTTGGGGCAGAGATGAGCCTGGTGTTGAAGGGAAAGAATGTATTTTTTATCTTTCTCTTCGAAATGGACTCTTTGTTCACGTGAACTTAGAGTTGAGAAGTTCTGGATACACGTGCATCAGAGAATCTGGAATGAAACTTAGAGTGAGATCTCCACTCCAAGAGTCATGTTTGAGTCATGCCATGTGGCGTTGACTCAGAAAAGACCTTTTAACTCATGTGAGCAAAAAGGTGGAATTTGGATAACCCATAACTGTCTGAAGATTTGATTACCAATTTAAGTGGTTCTCCTGTTCATGAAAAGAATCGAGAAAGGATTTCGGCATTGGTCCTAACTATCTAAAGGTTTGACCAAGTGAGAGTTTGAGATGACCCTAACTGTCTGAAGGTTTGATCGTTCAAATTTGAAAGTGGTTCTCTCGTTCATGGAAAGAATCGATAGGGGATTTTCGCATTAGTCTTAAATGTCTAAAGGTTTGACCAAGTGGTGGTTTAAGATAGTAAATATAACAAGGGTGTTGTTGATTATGAAAGTCACTTTGCCCATAAGGACATAGTGGATGTTTTGGTGTCAGGTTCTCGACGGTGTTTTCTTGCGAAGACTTAACACAAGGGACTTGCTAATTGCTATGGATTAGAAATTAATGTAATGTGGAATATCGAATATTGTGTCAGGATTTCAATAGTGGGAATATTGATCACCTAAACACAGTGGAAGAATGTGTGAGTTTAACCATGAAAGAAGGAGGGTAGGTATTTTTTACCTCTCGCTTTTTTTATGGCTAACCATTTTGATTTGGTTGTCCCACCGTCAATTGATTGATCAGTGAGAGATTTTATAGTGGAGGACTACAAATTGTCGAATGTTCAACAATTATATAGTAAAAATTTTATTAGGGAAAATCGAACAGATGAGATCATCAGATTTTCATTCCAATGAAAGAGTGGTCAAAGAACGACAGTAGGAGTGTTGATAAATTAATCCTAACCATTAGAAATAACCGAGGAACACAGATAAAGGAAAGAAGGTATTTTGTTATCTTTCGCTTCACAAGCAGATTTGAAGGAATTCAAATGATTTGTCCCAATTGGATTGGAGCCAATGAGATATGCTTCACATCTGAAGGGATCTTAGAATAATAGTAGGAGAATGTTAATCATCTCAATAATGATTAATGAGAACTATTCAGATGGTTGGTTTTCATCTCAAATAGTTAATTACCGCTGGGTTATCCCTAAGAATATTATGTGTAATATTCTCTAGGAACTTCCTATCGTATTACATTGTCGTCGTCATTGATGCGGAACGATATGTATGAATATGCACAATATGTACAATAATTCAAATTGCGTGCATTTAATGGGTTATCCTGATTGCACTAAGGATAGTACTTCTTCAGAAACTTCCCATTAATTGGTATCGTGATTTTATTACCATCTTGGGTGATCAAGCGATAAGCTCCGTTTGAATAGACTATATCTACTATAAATGATCCTTCCCATTTGGGTTGGAACTTGCCTTTCTTCTTTGAGCTTAGTATTATTAGTCGCCGAACAGCAAGTACTAAGTCTCCCTCTTTAAAGACCCATTTTTGAATCTTTTTGTCGAAGCTTTAGGGATTCTAGCTTAGTATAACTCAATTTGTTGTTGAGCTTCCAAGCATTTCTCATCTAACATCTCGAGTTTCTCGAGGTGTTTTTGATGTTGTTCTTCCTTCGTCATCCATATTGCAAGAGCGATACGAAGGGATTGAATCTGAATTTTCAAGAGAAGAATGGCCTCACACCCATATACCAAAGAATATGAAGTAGCTCCAGTAGGCGTGCAGACTGTGGTACGATAGGCCTAGAGAGCATAACCAAGTTTGTCATCCCAATCTTGCTTATTGGTTTTTACTAGCTTCGTTAAGAGATGATAGTCTTGTTGAAGGTCTCAGCTAAACCATTTGTAGTGGGATTGTAAGATTTTGACGCGACGTCTTGAATCCTAAACTTTTCATAGAATTTGATGAATGCGTTGCTGACAAACTGAGAGCCGTTGTCATGCATGATTCATCTTGAAACACCGTATCGGTAGATATTATAGTGCTTGATAAACTTAATGACGTCGTTTGTCTTTACTTCTCTGAGTGGAATCGCTACAGCCTACTTAGAGAAGTAATCAGTGATTGCTAAAATAAAGTGGTCACCTTAGGCTGACGGAGGAAAAATAGGACCAACAAAATCCATTCCCTAAGTCTCAAATGGTCAGGAGGTGGCCGAAGGGTGCAAGTGCTCCGTTGGTTGATTCATGTAGTTGGCATGTATCTGACATGCGTGACACCGTCGAGCATACGCAACTACGTCATTGACCATAGTTGACCAATAATAGCCCATTCCTCTAAGGCGATCATATAGTTTAGGACCCGGTTGATGTGCACCACAAGTTCCATTATGTGCTTCCTTGAGGACTTCTTCTGTCTCTTTGGTTGAAAGACATCGGAGCAACATGTTGGATATCTTGTCTCTAAGATATAATTTTGATGATAACAAATTATTTACTATATGTATTATATATGCACTAACATATTAATGCAGATAATAACATACGATATGCTCAAGATATGTGAACTAAGTGCAAAATGAGTTCAAGGCAACAAGACAAGCAAAGAAGAAGATGTGCTTAATCGTAAATGTGTAATTTTATATTTTCTTTGCTAAGAATTTTTGTACAAGCATTGATCACTCATAACACATACAAACACATAGTATTTAGAACACACTAACACATGCTTAGTGTGTGGTTAACTATAGAAATCCCCTAAGTTAACTATTAGAGTTTACAGATATAGAGTGAGTCTCAAAACATATCATATATCTCTATCTATATATTAGTAGTCAACTAATACACTTAGTAGTCGACTACTCAAGATTTTGTCAAAGTTACAGAATTTGTAAATTTACAGAGTAGTCGACTACTATGCTTAATAGTCGACTAATCTAAGTCAGTTCAAAGTTACAGAAACTTCAGTCATACAGACTAGTCGACTAATGCTAACAGTACTTGACTACTAACTAGTTTTCTGACTTCACAGAGTCTGAATAGACTCAGTGCAGTAGACTACTAAGACTAGTAGTCGACTACAGAGACAGTTTTCTTAACTTTCTGAACTTGAATATTTGAACGTTTATAGTCATTTTTAAAATGATAATTGGTTTAAATTTTAAGTTTTTCAAAGGCTATAAATAGGTGCTAACTTCAGAATTTGTTTACCAACTCTAATATACATAAGATTCAAATTTTTTGCAAATTCATGCTCTACTGATTCAAATTTTCATTCTAAGTGTTAAGAAAAGAAAAGTTCTGAAAGTGCCTTTATTCCCCATCATTACTAAAGATTGTTTAGGCATTATTCAGAGAGTTAAAAAGTTTCTAAGCCACTGCTACACTTCACAAACACTTCAAGGCTTATAGGAATTTGTGATCTTACTTCAAAGAAGGTTTCTCCCGGGTGTGAGAGAAGATCTTTTGGTTTAGAGATTGGTTGCAATTGGCATGGTATTGTCAATTAGTTAGGTTTGGTTTGATTTTGTAATTGGTTTCAAAATCATAGTGTAAATCTCAAGTAGGATTTGCTTAGGGACTGGATGTACATTCGGGGTGGTGGAACCAGTATAAATCTCTTTTTTGTGATTGTTAAATTTCTGTGACTGTTGTTATTTGTTCTTGCAATTTATAATCCATCTTGCAAAATTTTTAAATAAACACTATTCACACCCCTCTAGTGTTTTGTGTGTGCTTCTACAGATCCTACATTTGGTATCAGAGCAAGGTGAATGATGGCAACAATAAGTACATCACAATTCAAAGAGGGTCACTCCACACAATGACTACCATTATTCGATGGTAATTACAACTACTGGAAATGCTGGATGAAGATCTACCTCCAATCAGTTGGCTATGATCTTTGGAACATTGTTGAGACTGAGTTCACAAACCCAACCACTCTATACACCGAATGGACACTTGCTCAAAGGAAAAATGTGAATTTGGACTCCAAGGCAATGAATGCGTTGTTTTGTGCCCTGGACAAGAACGAGTTCAATCGCGTGTCTACCTCTACATCTGCACATCAAATTTGGCATACTCTTGAGGTAACACATGAAAGAACTAACAAAGTTAAAGAGTCAAAATTTTTTGTTCTTGTTCACAGGTTTGAACTATTCAAGATGAAAGAGAAGGAGACCATCACGGAGATGTTTACAAGATTTACAGATATCACAAACTCCTTAATTGCACTAGGCAAAGTTTACACTCAAGTTGAAATGGTGAGGAAAATCCTAAGAGCACTCACTCCAGAATGGGAGAAGAAGACTACGACAAGAAGATGCCAACGATTTTTCAACTATAACCGTAGAGGACCTCATCGGCAATTTCATGGCTTATGAAGTTCAACTCGAGGACAGAATGAAGGCTGAAGAACCAAAGAACAACAAGATTCTTGATTTCAATGCATCCTCCAACACCGAAGAATCTGAAGAAGATGGTGAGGATATTGCATTGATAATAAAGAAATTCAAACGATTCTTAAATAAAGGTAAGTATAAATCAAATAAGTTTAAGAATACTAATGATTCTTCTTTGTGTTTCAATTGCAATAAACCAGGACATATAAAGAAGGATGCTCCACTTCTTAAGTCAAAATTAAAGTCCACCAACTTTAATAACTTCAACAACATCAAGAAGAAGAAGAATAAGGCTTTGGCAGTGACGTAGGATGATAGTTATGCATCCTCTTACGAAGAAGAAGAAGAACAAAAAGAAGAAATTGCACACATGTGTTTCATGGCACACGAAAATGAAGTAATTGAATCCTTAAATAATGAAGAATTAGTAGAAGCATTCAATGAACATTATATTAAATTTAAGGATCTAAATTCTAATTATAAGATTTTTAAAAATGAAAATGAGAAATTAAACTTACAATTAGTTTCTTCAAATTTTACACAATTTGAAGAATTGAAGGAATTAAATGATATATTATTTTATGAAAATAAATTATTGACTAAAAATAATATTTATCTTAAATCTAAATGTGATATCATGAAAAATAGTATTTCAGATTTAGATAAAAATATGATTTCACTTAAACTTAAATATGAAGAGTTATTTTTAAATATAAACAAGTTTAACAAAGGAAAAGAAGACTTAACTAATTTATTATCTTTTCAAAAGTCTTCTAATCAAAAGTTTAGTTTGGGATATGCTCATAAGAAGAATGATTATGTTACTAGAACACGTCATGCATTATCTTCTATGACTAAATATGTTAAAAAATTTCATGCACCTTTATCAATGAATCCTCATAATGATTCTCATACATTATCGATGTTTATTTGCATACCTAAAGATACTTGCATGCATGATAGAGATGTTTATATTTCATATTTTAAGAAAAACATATGCAATTCTACTAATTATGTTTATGTTAACAAGGAAAAACCAAATTCCAAGTGGATTTGGACTCCTAAGGGTAAATCCAAAGGACCCAACATAAAAGGGTACTAATTTTTACATGTCTATATTTCAGGTACCTCGAAATAAAAAATGAATATTAGATAGTGGATGTTCCAAGCATATGATGGGAATCTTGAAAATGTTGTCTTCGATACAAAACAAGAAAGGTGGAACAGTCATATTTGGAGACAACAACAAGGATAATGTTATAGGTATTGGAACAGTAGGTAATCCACATAAGCCTTTAATAGATAATATTTTATTAGTAGGAGGTCTTAAACATAATTTGATTAGAATTAGTCAGTTATGTGATAAATGTTTTAAAATTATTTTTGGAAAAGATACTTGCTTGATTTATTATGACGTCCCAGGGTTCACACAAAGCTGCAGTCCAAGGTAAAATCTGGATTGTCAAACCTACCATACATCCACATAGTGCATTAACACGTTTCACCAATCACAGTAATATTTTCTAGTAAAATCAATAAGAAATGAAGGTACAAAACAGGTAAAATGAGGAAGTAAAAATAATAGACATGATATAGAAGGAGAGATCTCATAAATAAAAGAATCATGTCTCAACTGAAGTACATCCGATATCTGACATAATAAAATGTCTCAATATGAATAAACTAAATCTCATACTAAGACACTCTGCCTTTATAAAATGAATACAACTCTAAAGTTTGAACAATGAGCGTAACTATACGGTGGAGCTTCAGCTACTAAGACTATGCGACAGCGACTATGCTAGAACTCCGTCATCCTACGGCTCTCCGAAACTCTGAGCTACCTGAAGGAAACAATTTAAACAAAAAGAATAATAATAATAGCATCAGAGTGCTACAGCAAGATCACCTCCATCCGCCCCTAGGGGAAGAGATGCTAGATGAAGTGGAGGCTCTACCTATTAAGCATAGTCTACCTAAAATTATTTTTCCCGTAACTAATGGAATTAATATTTAGACACCTACAAACGAGATGTAGTACGTCGAGGGAAATTATCCAAATAAGGAAATCCTTATGTATATACCGTATGTCTCAAGTTATAGATAACTAAACATTAACACCAAACTAAAGATAAACAATCTAAAGAAACCAATAATTAGAAACCCACAACACGAGACTGGTACATCGAGCGAAATAATCTAAACAAGGAAACCCTCATGTATATACCATATGTCTCAAGTTGTGAATTGCTAATCATTGATCCCAACTAAGAAGTAAAAGAGAAGCAATACGTGAAAGTAGACTACAACACTAAACCTCAAACATGATGAGCAAATGTTACAATCTCGGACTACCATCGAGTAGTGGCGCAGTCATAAGAAAAATATCATTCAAAATAAACATCTCCATAGATCATGCCATGTATGTCAAAAGTATCTGAATTGTACCCTACCCTCGGGTAATCTAACATGGCAGCAAAACTACATCTGTGTATGTATATATATATCTCTATATGAAATAACAATACTCTTGTAAGGTACAACACACTATCGTGTGGAAATAACATCCTTACTCAATCGTTCTATGGCAATAGGTATATCTCCCTATTCTGGATGATGTATCCAGATGATTGTACAGCGGAGCGTAGCCATATCATCCTAATCTGAAAAACTCCGATCATCTTCGAGTATTGGTACAAGCGCGGTCTTATTGCGGGAAAATGCCCAATACTCCTGGTGTGGTACAGCTGCGATCTCATTGCGGGAAAACGTTCATCACCAAGCATGCACAACTAATGAATTATGCATTATCATGTGTTACCAACACTATCAACTCTAAACATGTGATACGACTCAAACAAAACGTGTATTCAACACCCGTGCACGTATCTTGACGTGCGGATCTATTGGCCTTCTTGTTTTGATGATGTTTAACAAATAATTTATAACTAATGTTGTTTGTCTAGTATTTGTGTTTTCGTATTTATTCTAGGCAAACAACGAGTTGGAGGATGGATGGAATCGAGCCTTAACGATCATATCAAATGGAGGTTGGCGGAATTGTGGAGTGAAGCAACGTCAATTCAAGTTAAAGATCCAATTACAAGCTTATTCCGCAAAGTTTACCAAGTCATGCTCATTGAAGACCTTCATCAAGCTTGGGTATATTTAGTATAGGTTTATATTATGTGTGTTTAATACTCTAAGCTCAATATCATATACACACACAATATTGGATTTTCTCACAAAATGAGCTATTTTGAGAAAACTTTGTGATATTGTTTTATTGACCATGTTTACTTTATATTCATGTGTTATAATGTTTATGAAGACGTTTCATAAAGTTTCAATATGCGTTTAAACTCTTTTTGTCAAAAACATGTTCTTAACAAATTCATATTCATGCATGTTTTTACAAAATAATGAGTTTTCACAATTGAGAAATAAAAATTGAAAATTTATTTTTGTAACATGTTTGTTTTCATGTTTATAAATATTTTGCAAAGTTTCATCAAGTTTGGATTTGATTTGTTATGTTTAATGGAATTTACAAAATCATGTTTTTGTTTGTGCACATGTTCGTGCATGTTTTACAAAACAGATGAGTTTTCATAAATGGTAAGTGATATTTAATAAATTCTTTCTTTGACATGTTTATCTACATGTTTATAAACTTTTTTCAAAATTTTACTATTTTTGGAGTTGATTTACTGTGCCCAATTGATTTTACAAAATCGTGTATGTCAGCAGATTTTTAGAAACTGTATTTCTGTGTTCAAACATTTATTTCTCTCAACTGAGAAATTCTTTTTCAGAAATTCTTTCTCTAACATGTTCTTATACATGTCTAGAACCTTTTCTCAAAATGTAATAATTTTTGGAGTTGATTTACTATTTTTAATTGATTTTACAGAACTGGATATATAGTGCTACAGTACCAGCGGTCGACCGCACTACAGTGCGTTCGACCGACGAACTCTCTGGAAAACTCCTCCGTTTCTGACCTTATTCGCGGTCAACCGCGATTTTCCTCGGTCGACCACCGTAGTTCCAATGGCTATTTTTAGAGCCGTTGCAGAGTGTTTTTTTTTTTTGGTCTTTTTCTTGGCTTTCTCTTACCTTTGGGGTTTCATATAAATACCCCCTTACCTCAGTTTTTACAGAGACACAAGAAATGTTTTAAAGAGTTTTAAAAAAGAGTTTAAGCTTGTTGAAGGGTTTGGTTTATGAAGAAAATTTTACAAGAGCTTGAGGAGATTAGCAATTGTATTTTAGGCATTCAATCCATCTCTCTCTCTTGTCATCTAGAGAAGTTTTCCTAAACTCAACTCTAGCTTTTATTTATAATTATTTGTTAATTATCATTTCTATTAAAGTTAGTTTTATATTAAGTTTAGATTTGATTTTACTCATTGTTACACACACCCACTTGAGCTTATTGTATTTGCATACATAGTATATTAGGGTTGTGAAAGATTGTAACATTGAGTTGTGCTTAATTGAGTTCTCCCCTTATATGAGAGAACAAATCATTTATTGTTACATTGTGAGATTGTAAGGTTTTCGGTGAGCTAGAAAACCGAGTGTGTTGTGAAGTTTTCGGTGAACTAGAAAACCGAATGTGAGGAGTGAACGTTGATCACACTGTGAGGTGTAAACGTTATTCGGGTGAGCGTAGAAAACCCGGTTGTGATAGTGGATTTCTCCCCGGGAGTGGGGAGCTGAGACGTAGGACGGAAGGTCTGAACTACGTGATCATTTGAGTGTGTTTGAGTTTGTCATTGGCGCATTTGCTTTTGCATTTATCTTATATCGCCAATTGTGCATTGCTCATTTATTTCATCTACTATCTAGTTCTTTTTGTTTACCCTTGTGTTAGTTTACATATCCTTTCATATATCATTTTGTATATCTCTTTGGTAGGATATATCACCTTGTGTTAGTTTTATATCCTTGCACATACATTGCCTATATCTCTTTGT